TAAGGGTAGTATATCCTTGGTAAATCTTTGTCTGAAAAAGATATGACATTTGTGGCCTCTGTTCTACCCTTTTTGATGGTAGGTTATGCGCTTAATACCTCCCTTAAGTGCTCAACCTTTTTAATCATCCCCCTGAGTTCACATACTCTCTCAGGTTCAAATATCCCATGTATTACGTTAATTATGCCTTGCAGTGGAGCGTCCACCGGCATCCCCTTTGGGTTGTTGTGGTTCTGGGGGCTGGTTGTGTCCCTCCTTCTATGTACTGGTCCAGGTGCCCAGCTGCCACTAACTCCTCCAAATGCTGCCTCAACGGCATGCAATTTTCAGTGCGGTGCCCCTTTTCATCATGGAAGGTGCACCGGGACCTCTCGTCATAGTCTTTTTGTGCTTCTCCCAACTTAGCTGGCCATCGGACGAAAGGTTCATTGCGTATCTCATTGAGAATTCGGTAGATTAGTTTTTTGAACATTGTGGTAATGGTAGTGCGAACTCTTAACTTCTTTTTTTCTGGGTCCTCTCTGTTGGCCCACCTGCCTCGCCCATTCCTATTAGGTTGCTCTACCGTGTTGACTTTTACAGTAGTCCTTTTATCTGGCATTGCTGTTGTACCAGATTTCGCTTTAATACGGGCGCTATCCTCCTCCACGCGAATATGTTGGTGCACTCTCTCCATTAAGGCCTCCATCGTGAGGAGTGGCGTCATAGTAATTGAATCCCTCAATTTGTTGCCGACTAGTAGGCCCCGTTTGTATTGTGCAATGGCAAGGTTCGTAGGGCAATCCCCAATCTGGTTGAAGGTTTCCCAGTAGGGACTGTTGTAGGACCTCAACGTCTCTTTTTCACCCATGTTAATGGAGAGGAGCTGGTCAATCTCTACTGGTGTCTTGGTGTTCGTCCTGAACCTAGTCATGAACGCCTTTGCCAATTGTGCCCAGGAGGCGATATTGCCTTCTGGTAGCTTTTCGAACTAGATTAGACTTAGGTCACCAAGGCTGGATGGGAACAGGATACACATCAGGGCCACGTTCTGCCGGTAGATTGACATAACCTGGCGAAAGTGGCTTAAGTGCATGTAGGGGTCTGTCTTCCCCTCATAAGTGGTAAATTTGGGCTGGTGGAAGCCTGAAGGTAGTGGCGCATTCTCAATTGCCGAAACGAACGGCGGGCTCTATAACCTTGCTAATGCTTTGTCTGTTGGTTCGTAAGCAAGGCGCGACATTGGCATTCCTATCTCGACACTCCCATGCGTCCGAGGTGCCAACCGCTGAAGGGCTGAAACTCTGCGCAGGTCGCATGCCTTGGTATCCTCCTTCCATCGTGCCCTTTCTTCAAGCACAGTTCGTAAGTCAAATGATCTAAGCAACTCTGTGTGCCTAGATGAAGTCTGGTGCGTGTGCGAGGGTCGACAGGTGCTTCTCTCAGTATATGACCTCTCAGTTCTCGTTCTCTCAAACCTGGAGTAACGAGTCCTTGAAGTCCTTAATTGAGTGTCGCCTGCTCTAAGGCTCCTACTTTCTGCTTGCGATGGTGTGGTACGCCTATCACGATCCTCTGAATGGTGAGAGGGCGAGTTGCCTTTGCGCCCCTCTCCTGTCGCCACCCCTTTTTCTTTTATCTGGCACTTAATTGACTCCATGTCCGCCGCCATCCTTTTTATTAACTCGTCTTGCTCCTTAACGCAATCTTCCAGAACTTGAGGGTCCATCCTTCGCCTTTGTCTTTCAGGACTTTGAGAGCGACAGGGGCTGTTAGCCCGCCTCCCCTTTGCATCCCTTCGGGAGTTCTGTCGCTAAGGTTCTAAATCCGCAATGGAAGGGATAGAAGGCAAACCTTCACGCCTCCCACCCCTCTCCGGGGTTTGCCCATCAATGGCTGATTGCGGCCAGTCTTCATTGTGCGCCATTACTTCCAACTAGAGATGAAAGCTTGATCAAGAGGTTTTGTTTTTTGTGGAATTCCCACAAACGGCACCAATTGTACGAGCACGAAATTATCTTCTCGTATAATCCTGTTGATCAAGTCTGCGCTCCTCCAAACGTCGTCGCTTTACTCCCTGAAAACACAAACGTGAGCTAGTCGGCGGGTGTGTGCCAGATACCTCTCCGATGCCTAAGTCAGAAAAATAGACAAATAGACGAAAGCTCTGTGTATTCGGGAATCAAAGTTGTGTTACCTGTACATAGGTTATGTTGTGAGCTTTTATAGTTTCCGTGTGGCACAATCATAGTAGGACTCTTATTCCTCCATGTAGAGTCCTCCTAGGAATCACACTTCTGAAAGATAATATTTATCCTCCAACACCCCCCTCACTGCTTAAACCAAGTGAAATAATTTTACCTCGGTGGGATAACAATATAACTGAGCTAACAATATCTCTTTGTCATACTCAATCCAGCACCTTCACATGCAACACATAGCTCGACTTTTGTTCACTTGCATCTTGGTTGCCTGCTGAGACCGAGCTAACTATAGTAAGTTTTGACCGAACTAACAAGAGTAAGGTTCACTAGCAGAAGCCCAAATACCTCGGTTCCAAATACTATGATCGAGCTAATTACCACTCCGACCGTGATGACTGTAACTATATTTGGACCGAGCTAACTGTAAAGTCCTTTCACTCAATCCTTTTTATCACAACCCACAAAATAACTCATTACCACGCCTTGACATAACTGGATTCTAATGCACATAAAAACTCCATCCTACTGAGTTATTACATCAAGTTGGGAAAAATATGAAATAATTGGTCACTGTTACCGTTGACTAATCATGATTCCTGCGTCAGATTTTAAGATTGCAAATCTAGATTTTAAAACACTGGTAACAAAGGTTGAAACAAAAACAATTTTAAAATCAAAGAACAACGGTTATCATTTCTAAACAATTGGGATAATAACAAAAACACCGCCAGAGCCCACGAGGAACAATCTCTTAGGCCATACCAACCGAGACGATATACTGCCTCCCTAGGTTGAAACCTAGTAGGGCTCGGATTACATGGGACTAAAGCTGAAACTTCCTTGAGGAACCAATAGGAAATTAACAATAACAGTTATTTTAAAAAGTGAGTTAAAAGTTATTTTTTTAATTTTTAATCTACTTCTTTCTCTTATAAAAAAGTTAAAAAAAATAAATAAAAAACACTCCAACATTCAAAAAAAAATAAAATAGATAGGAAAAAAAAAATTGTGTAACTTGATTGAGAGTAGTATTCTTAGATATGCAGATGAATGTTAATGCGACCTTCTTCTTTTCAGTTCAGTAATTAGACTGAAGGATCTAATTAAGAGATTATATTGTGTTTAGTTGGTAGATTTAGAAAGGAATTTAAAAAGAAAAATAAAAAATGTAAGTGAAATATAAATAAAATATACCTAAATTTTACTTAATTTTACACATATTTTCCTTTTCTTTTTCTAAATCTCTCTTCAAACTCCCAATCAAACACAGTATAAATAAATTATTTTAGAGTTGCTAAGCAGATAATCCAAAAAAAAAAGTTAGGTTGATTGAAAAACGTAATCATATAATTAGATCGTATTTGTCTTAAAAATATTGACGGTCTATTTCTACAATAAATTGTCCATTTAAAAAAAAAAAAAAACAAATATGGTCCAACTATATGCATATCAATACTTGATGGATATTGCTATACAAATCTAAAAATTAGATCAAAATTTTAACTCAATGATATGACAATCAATTAAGATACAACATTTTTCTCTCATATTCACTCTTTCTTATCTTTTTAAATATCAATCAATCATATCATTTACACATTATTAAGTCCAAAAAATAAATTGAAGAAGTGAATTTCTATATCATTTTTCATATTTAATCAACCTGATTTTTTAAATTTAATTGAAAGGCATCAAAAGATGAATAGTTTATTTAACTCATTCAAATATACGAAGCCTGGGCCCACAACTCTATCAACTAAATCGTTCCGTGTAATTACTAGTTTGGAGGGAAGCCTCATGCAATGCTAAAAATATGTTGGTCTGGAGCTGTTTAGTGTAATTTTTATCACCTGTCAATTGTTTTTATTATTTTATCTTTACAAGATTATTTGGTAAAATTTTTATTTATAATATATTAAACAAAAATAATTTAAATAAGTTAAAAAAACTGATTATTTGATAGTTAGAGGAGTAGTGAGAAAATTAGAATTGGGAGTTGTGCAGCCGTAATTGTTGACTTTTGGTGAATAGTGATAACTTTTTAACTTTTTGAGTAACTTTTTGACTTTTTAACTTTTTTGAAACATCCCAAACTTGGCCTAAATCGTTCCGTGTAATTACTAGTTTGGAGGGAAGCCTCATGCAATGCTAAAAATATGTTGGTCTGGAGCTGTTTAGTGTAATTTTTATCAACTGTCAATTGTTTTTATTATTTTATCTTTACAAGATTATTTGGTATAATTTTTATTTATAATATATTAAACAAAAATAATTTAAATAAGTTTAAAAAACTGATTATTTGATAGTTAGAGGAGTAGTGCTTTCGACTCTTTCTTTCTCATTTGCACCAAACATACTATATATATTTATTTTTGAAAATTAATTTTCATAATTGATTCACTCATTTCCCTGTCATTGTGTTCTTACCATTTCTGCAACAACGTATACTTCAAATGCTGTGATCATTGTGATACTCAACCACTTTAATACAACGTCCACATTGGATAATTTGTACTTTTTTGAATAATGTTTCTGCTCTCCCCGTGCTTTTCAAATATTATTTTTCATATACTACCAAATGGGTTCAAATATAGTTTAATTTAAACTGTACCAGCTAATAAAAATAATAAAAATCAACCAAGTTGATAGAGAATAAAAAGATAGTTGTGTGACAGACTAATTTAGTATTAATATTATATAATTTACATGAAAGCAGTGTTTATGGTAAGACAATTACAATGATATTTATAAGAGTGAAGATGCGATTGAATCTCAACATCACATGCTAATTTAAGTCAATTTTTATGCCACCCCACCACTCTTATTTTATCACATTTTGATTAATTTTTTGTTTTGAAATCGATCACCGGCTGTCCATAAATATGGTGGTATGTTAACCGGGTTTTTTGAGAAAGTGAAGATGGAGGGAGAGAGAAACATGGCTGAGAATGAGAATGGGGAGGAAGAGAGTAGAGAGAGTCAGAAGAGAGAGATGAAGAAGAAGCAGAAGAAGAAGAAGAGGCAGCTTGGAGGGATTAAAACACTTCCATTCATCTTTGGTGAGTTTTGCTTTGCATCTTTATTTTTTGTTGCTTAAACTTGTTTTTTTGTTGTTGTTTTCTCTCTTGCTATTTAATACAAATAAACATGAGTTGTTTTGATTTGGTGAAACACTGCAAACTCAATGCTTGACTTGGTGAATATAGATGTATAGGAATACAAAATCATTCACAAAATTAGACATAACCCTGTTATATGAAGTGAGTTTCACACTCATATGAAAGGGTTGTATTTAATTTGATGATTGATTTCAGTAAAAGAACTGATATTATTAACGTATTAACTCCAAAGAGTAGTGGATAAAAAAAAAAAAAGAAAAAAAAAAAAAAAAAGGTAAAAAAAAAAAAAAACCTCAAAGGAGATATGTTTGTCACTTCAACTTTGTTATAAATGGACTTGGCAAAAAAGCTTACTATAAATGTATTTATAATTATTGACCATCATAATTCTGTCTGTTTTTAGTTGATGGTTTTATATAAATTCTTGTTTTGACTAGGGTCACATATCTTGTATATCATATGCAAATTTGGTCCAAATTAATATTAGGTATATTTAATTATGGGTTATTGTGGCGATGGATTAATAAATTGTCAAAAAATAATGTTAGTTTATGATGTTTAGTTAAGTCGATCATGTTTTCAACTAATGTTGACATATCAAGTTTCCAATTTAGATTTAATTTTTTTTTAAATCTAACAAATGAAATAAATTATAATGAAATGACCACAATCACTCAATCTACACGTTCTAATCATATCGTCCCATTTTCAAACGGTAGAATCTTAGTTGGTTAGTAAGTTAGACTACAATGAAATCACAAGAAGTTAGCTTAGTAGATGCAGCTAGGGGCCTTAGGGTGTACTTCCTCCAGATTTCAAGTTTAATTCTCATTAAGTGCAATCAACTCCTTGAGGCCATGCCAGGCTCTGCTCGAGATTTATCCGATCTATGTGGAGATGACATTTTGCTTGAGTCCCGAGATTAGTCGAGATGCGCGTAAACTGACCCGAACACTCGAACATACAAAAAAAAGCTAGACTACAATGGAAGGGTTGCATCACTCCATCAATTTGAATCCTGAACCTTTGGCTTTCTGAAGGTCCCAAAGAACAATTATATGGAGTACTAGGCTAATTGTCCTGTCATAATCAAATGAGTTGTGTTAAATAAAGTAATTATATTTACATAACAAAGTTAATTAGACATTTTTGCATTGAAATTTTTTCTCATACAATTGACCTCTGACTAGATAGTCTTTGATAAGTCGTCAACTAGTAACTTATTTAGAGCAATGATACATTCTTCTAATTTTGGAACTGTAATTGAGTTCTAATGATGTGACAAAGATTAAAAATAATAAAAATAAATAAAACCAGGGCCAAAACATCACATCATAATAGGGTCCACTCTCATTAGAACTCCTTTATTAGAGTTTCCAATTATTTTTCATTTATTTATTACTTTTAAATGGAAACATGCTTCCTTGGCATCATTTTAAGAATTGTTTTACCTTTTCAACATCAAAAAAAAGCTGTAAAGAACTTTGGAACGTGTTTCAAGATCTGTTTTAGAGTAAAAAAAAAAAAATTGTGCAAAATATTCCATTTTGCAACAACTTTTTATTTTCTTGTTTTAAATAAAATCCATTTCTAGGAACTTATTAGTCTGAAAATGTTGGAATTTTCTCCATTTCTCTCTTCCAATCAATTCATAAATTTAAAATTCAAATGCAATATCAAGAAAGTAGAATTAATTTCAATATTACTTTTCAAGCTTTCCATATTTTTCGTCTTAGAATTTGAGGGGCTCGTGGAGCTCATTATAGATCCCGTTTTGATAATTCGAATGATTCATTTTGTAATACTCTTCATAACTATAACCCATGAAAAAATTAAATCAATATGCTAATCGTGACATTTTTATAGTATTTGCTTACAAAAGAGAGAACTCGATTACTCATAGAGTTTAACAATTTGTTTTTTAACTGTTTTTTTTTATAGTAATTTAAAAAAAAAAAGTTTTATACTCTTAGATTGTATCAAACTAGATGGACTAAAAAAGTAAATAATAATAATAATAATAATTTGAAAAAATTCAACTAAAGACTAAAATACTAAAAAAGTCAAAAAAATTAATTGAACTTAAAAAAAAATCAATTTTTATTTTTTAGATCTTTCTAAATTAGACAGATCTAAAAACTATTTTTTTTTTTGGACAAAAATATTATAAAAATTATGACTTTTTAACTTTTATCAAATTGTCCTTGTGTAACTATCTAATTACTAATTTCAAATTTTATAGCCTATGTGTGACATTATGTGAGTTAGCTAGCTTTGCTATTTTGAATTGACAATATGTGAGAGTGTGAATTTTGGCAGCAAATGAAGTCATTGAAAGATTTGCAACAACTGGTTTTCATAGCAACATGATAACATACCTAACACTGAAGCTCAACTTGCCACTGGTGAAGGCTTCCAACATCCTCACAAACTTTAATGGCACTGCCGGTTTTGCTCCGTTGATCGGCGCTCTCATCGCGGACTCCTTTTCTGGTCGATTTTGGATGATAATCTTCGGTTCCACTATCTATCAATTGGTATCTCTCGCTCCCCCTTCACTTTCTCTCTGTTTCGTGGTGTCGGAGTGTCTGTATGATAATTTTAAATATCATCTGTTATATATTTTATCATTTATTATGTATCGAGATTTTAAACTTTTCTATACTATTATCTTGGCTGATATTGTCTGATTTATGACTGTATGTCACCATGGTTTGCGCCAATTGAGTGTCAATAAAATTTCCTCTTTTTCGATTATAAAAATTATTTTAAGAAAATTGTGATCCCTGTAATTTATCTCATTTTATTAATTTAGTCATTGCAATTTTAATTGTATTAATTTTATTTTTTAATTTTCACATTATGTTCGATTTTGTTCAAATGATCACATCCGTTAAGGAAAAATGACAGGGAAAAAAAAATCCATTTAAAGGTGAAATTGATAAGGATCAATTTAAATTAATAGACAAATTATAAAGATTACAAGAACAAATTGAATTTCAACAAAAAAAAAAAAAAAAAAAAAATCCATTACTCAACTGCACAAAGTACTGTTTGCTTGAAGAGGAAAACAGAGACAGGAGTCTCCAACAATTGATCATAACTATAATTCTAAAAATGAGAAAAGTTAGGTATCATGAAATTTTTTTCATTAAAATGATTATGAAAGATTTATGATTCTTGGATTATCTTGATTAGTGTGCGGTGCTTTGTTTTAAGTATAATCCAAGAATCACAAGCTCTCTTTCGTAACTTTTACCACAAACATGCCTCTTATGATATACCGCTTTAATTTTGGGATAGGGATTGGTGAGCATAATCTTATCAGCAGTCCTACCGGGGCTCCGACCACCACCATGCCCTACCCAAGTGAACTGCAAGGAAGCCTCTCACTCTCAGATATGGATCCTCTACCTTGCTCTCCTCCTCACCTCCCTCGGGTTGGGTGGCATTAGGCCCTGTGTGGTCACCTTTGCTGCAGATCAAGTCGGCATGACTAAAGCAGAAACCGAGTCTCGGAGCTGGAATTTCTTCAACTGGTACTATTTCTTCTTAGAAATAGCATCACTCTCTGCTCTCACAATCCTTGTCTATATTCAAGACAATGTGGGTTGGGGTTGGGGTCTTGGAATTCCTACCATTGCCATGTTTGTGTCCATAGTAGTGTTTGTTTCAGGGTCTGCATTGTATAAGAAAGAGAAACCAGAAGGAAGTCCGCTGCTTAGATTGGCTCAGGTTGTTGTTGCTGCTGTACGTAAGAGGAAAGAAGTTGCACCGGCAGACCCGGGCCTCTTGTATGATAATAAAAAGCTCGATGCCGCTCTTTCTTTCAATGGAAGGCTTCTACACTCCAACAACCTCAAGTAAGTTGTCGCTGTTACTGCATTTTTCTGACATAATTTTTTTTGCATTTTTCTTTTTATCTCTATTATGGCTTTAAATATTAATCAATATATATTGCATTGACTGGTATGTATCAAGTTTTTTCTTTACAATACAGTTATAGCCAATAGATTGGTAGAAATGAAAATCACATTCATATATGTCGGTTTTAGATAAGTATTGGTACACCCAAACTAGCATATATGTTTATTTAGGTCTTTTATACATACGTGCTATGATGCACGGGTACGGGTATGGGTACGGATATGAGTATGAGTACTGGTATTAGTACGATACAGGTAAGTTGATACAATAAAATTTAAAAAAAGTAAAGTACAAGTAAGACTTGTTACACTTGTAAAAAAATATTTATTTTTAATTTAGAGCAATTCAAAAATTAATTAAATGGTTTAATTTGTAAAGATTTAACCTACAATTAACATTTAATGCCAAAAGTAAATGTATAAATCAAAATTAAATGTCAATATATTAAATAACTTACAAACTGTAGTTTAATTTTAAAAACATGATAAGTATAAAACTAAAAATAAAAAAGAAGTCTAGTAAAATGAATTTCATCTCTGTAGTAGAAGAAAATATTGTTTCAATTGAGATATGGTGCGACTTGTATATATAGTAAGTACGTCTAGGTAAACCAAAAGTTAAGAAGAAAAAATGTAAGTATTTGTTTCGTATACTCAGAATATATGTAGAAGTACCATACGTCGGTAAATATCTGATATAAATACAACATATTTTTCGAAGTACCCATATTTCATAGCGTATGTGTCAGTTAGTGGGATGAGTTGGATAAAGTGATTACAATTACATGGTGGGGTTTACTTTCGTATGTGATATATTATAATTGAATGGTTATAGGATGTGTCAATGATAATATGATACATTAAATTTTTATTTACAAAGTAGGCCCTGCCCCTGCCCGCCCTGTTGTCAGTCCTAGGTTGCAGGCTGTGACCAAAGCTGTGGATAGTAGCAGAGGTTGGGGCATGGTTAGAGTTTGAACGGTCAAGAATACAGGCAGAATTGAAATTTCATGATACGATAAAATTGTAATAATTTTTTAAATATATATATTTTATGATTTATTCAGTATATCATACCTGTAAAAAATCAAGTTGATCGGATATCAGAAAGTATGTGTTTGAAAAATTGAACTAAACAATATTTTTTAAAGAATTTAATAAACAGTTTTCCGAACATATACTTTCTGATATCCGATCAACTTGATTTTTTACAGGTATGATATACTGAATAAATCATAAAATATAAACGGTTCGGATTATCAAAATTGGGCCTAAAAGTAGACCCGAAGGCCTGCAAGGACGAGCGCAAGCACAGAAGCTGCAAGGAGAGGATCCTCACTCCAGAGGTTGGGGCATGGTTAGAGTTTGAACGGTCAAGAATACAGGCAGAATTGAAATTTCATGATACGATAAAATTGTAATAATTTTTTAAATATATATTTTTATATTGTAATAATTATTGACAGCACTGCTATAATCACCGAAATTACATTGCAGATGGCTTGACAAAGCTGCTGTAATAACAGACTCTGATGAAACACACCCCACCAACCCACCAAATCTATGGAGGCTATCCACAGTCCACCGAGTCGAAGAACTCAAATCCATAGTCCGAATGTTACCTATCTGGTCTGCTGGAATCCTAGCCATCACTGCATATTCCCATTCAGACAGTTTCAGCATCCAACAAGCTCGCACAATGGACCGTTTCCTCTCTCCCACCTTCCAAATCCCTCCTGCCACCATGGCCATCTTCGAAAACCTCACTGTAATGGTCGGCCTTCTCTTATACGAGCGACTCTTCGTCCCCTTCGCTCGTCGTTTCACCAAAAACCCCGCAGGCATCACCTGCCTTCAAAGAATGGGAATAGGCTTCGCAATCAACAGTTTGGGTACTCTCGTTGCAGCTGTAGTCGAGGTGAAGCGAAAACACGTGGCAGCAAAACACAACTTACTCGACATACCAACCGCGACCATACCCATGAGTGTTTTTTGGTTGATTCCTCAATATTCGATTCACGGGATCGCTATGGTTTTTGTCCCCGTTGGACGAATGGAGTTTTTCTACGATCAGTCGCCAGAGAGCATGAGAAGCACCGCTGCATCGTTCTTTTGGATAGCGAATGCTATTGGGAGCTACATTGGTACAATGATGGTTTCATTGATTCACAAGTACACAGGAAGTAAGAGGAATTGGGTACCGGATTGGAACCTCAATCGGGGAAGATTGGAGTACTACTACTTGTTTGTGTCTGGATTGCAAGTGGTTAATCTGATATACTATTTGATATGCACCAGGTTCTATACTTACAAGGCTTTGGAAGAGGTGAGTGATGAAGATGGGAATGATGGAGATGTAGAGTTGGCCACAGAGAACATTGGACCTAAGCCAGTGGGTGAAGCTAATGGTAATGGAGAAGCAAAGAAGTAGTGAGAAAGCTTGGTTGGATTGTTTCTGAGAATAATTGTTGGTGATGTTGAGATTTTAAATAGAAATTTATCAAGAAAATTATTGTGTGATTCAGATTCATCTAAAATATAAATCTAGATATAGTGATTGAATTTTAGCCACACTTTAATATTCGGGATAAATTAATATTGTCAAAATTTCTAGGGATCTAGCTTTAGTGTTAGAATTTGGATGCAATGTATGTAAAAAAAATTAGAGAAATGTTAGAGAAATGTTGAAACGAGTGTGTGGTGCTTTATTGTAAGTGTAATCCAAAGGTCATAAATTTTTCATGACCATTTTTATGAAAGACTTTTCATGATACTTAGCATTGCTGAAAAAATTATGATGGTCGTGAAGATGTGGTAACTATTGTCATTTAACCTTTAAATTAATGCACTTTAGTGTTGCATGACCAGTGATGGTCGACAAGAAGTCCACTACAAAAAGAGTTGGAGCTTTGGTTTAGTTTTCAAAAATATTTGTGACGTTTTTTATTTTTAATATTTTTTAATTGTTTTTTGTGAATTTTTTTTCTTAATTTAAATTTAATTTTTTTATTTTTTTAGATATTCTCAATCTACATTCACCTAAAAAATAAAATATTTATGGAAAAAATTTGAAACAAGTTCACTAAATACAAACAGGCACTACAAGAATTTACACTTTTGGCGCCAAAAACAATGGTCATTCGCGACTAATTAATATTTAGTCGCCAAATGTCATTTTTTTGCGACTAAAATTTTTTTGGTCGGCAAAAGTGGTCGCCAAATGTGTAAATTCTTGTAGTGAGGTATGAAAATGTGCTGATTTTTTTTTTTTGCTTTTCCATATTTTTTATAAATATTTTATTTTTTAAGTATATATAGATTTAGTGCATTAAAAAAGTTTAAAATAAAAATTAACTAAGACATAATTTATTTATTTTTTTTACTAAAAATAAATAAAAAAAATACACCCAAAAAATTCCATAACTTGATGAGGATTCTCTTAAATTAAAATTTTGAACTTGACCGTTATGTTAGGGCCCATGGGGTTCAGCACATGTTCTATTTTGATAATCTAAATTATTCATTTTGTAGGATTCTTTGTATATATTATCCCTGAAAAAAAATCAAGTCTCATAACATTTTTATATTATTGCGTTTATCTCCAAAAAAAAATAAATGGCATATTTTTAAAAATGTATTTGTCGTTATTTTTTTGAAAAAAAAAAACACTATAAAATAAAACTACTATAATTATCGGATATTTTTTTTGATCAGCAAAAAACCTTTATTGATGAGAAAATATACATTTTATATGAGATTACATCAATAAAGAAGTAGAAGTGCAAATAACATCACAACGAATTACCCCAATCCCAACTAGGTTGGCACCAAGGAGCACGCCCAATCATCTGCCAGTACAACCATAAAAAGTTGGTGAGGAACCAACACAACACGAATGAGAAAGAAAAAAAAAACCACACAGCAGCCACAAACACGCCACACCAAACTCAACTGCAATCTGCAAACCAGAGCTGGCCTACAAGAAGTACTTCACTTGTTGCATGTTATACACAATATCATTCACAGAGTAATTGAAAGAGGGGGAAGAAGATCTGATCCATAATGCAATCCTAATCTTGATAGCATCACACAACTTTTCAGAGTCCACCTATGAGCCATTAAAGATACTGTCATTACGCTGCCTCCAAATGGACCAGAGTACTACCAACGGAATAATGTTTCAGGCACCATTTCCTATTTTTTGAGTATTGTACCAGCCCACCAAAGAAAAAGGCTATTCACAGACCCAAGTATTGCCCATTTTACTCGCCACCAATCCAAAGCTCCAAGTAAAATGGCAGAAGAGAAGCACATGATTGACAGTCTCCAAATCATTATTACAGAAGTTACAATTCATTTTTGACCGACTACTAAGAACCCCAAGCCTTTGAAGAAAGTAGAATGTCTTAATCATCGCTTTCCATGATAACCAACCAAAAAACTGAACCCTTGGTGGAGCTACATTCTTCCAAATGAACCCAGCTACTTTGCTAATATCCTTAGAAGATAAAATATTCCAATTATAAGCAGAGGCACAATGAAAAAACCAAATTTATCTGTATTCCATCTAATACTGTCCAACCTACCAAGCCTAAGCACTGGTTCATTGAGTAAAAACAGATTCAACCTCTCTAACTCCTCCATTTCCCACTGAAACAAAACTCTTCTGAAGTTGAACCTCCACCCTTAAATATCAATTCCCCTGCTCCTTACCTCTGCCACAGTCTCAGTTTTGTCCAGAGACACATAATATAATATGGAAAATTCATCTTTTAAGCAAGTATTTCCAACCCAAGTGTCAGTCCAGAACTTTGTTCTCTTGTCATCACCAATATTCATAACTATGTTATGCTTAAAGAAATCCACGAGCTTAGGACACAAGCCAGTGACACCCACTATATCTCTCCAGATCATAGATAGCTTGTTATTTTCAATAGATAAAGGCCACCATCCTCTTCCAACCTCAGGGTATTTACTGCATATCACTTGTTTCCAAAGAGCATTATCTTCAGTGCCAAATCTCCACTACCATTTCAACAAAAGACAGTTATTCCAAAGTCTAACCTTTCCAATTTCTAAACTCCCTTGACTTTTACCTTGAGTGATCTCCCCCTATTTAACCAAGTGAATTTTCCTCCTAAGCTCATCACCTCCCCATAAGAATCTAGATTGATTTTTTTCAAACTCTTTTGCAACCCCTTCTAGCATCTTAAATAAAGATAAGTAATATTCTGGTAAAGAAGATAATATAGACTTAATGAATGTCAGCCTACCTGCAAATGATAAGAATCTCCTCTTCCAATAAGCCAATTTTTGTTTACATTTATCAAGCACTGGTTGCCAAGTCCTTTTTCTCCTTGGATTAGCTCCCAAAGGCAAACCCAAATATTTGAGTGGCAATCTTTGATGCAAACAATTCAATTTAGCAGCAAGTTCTTCACGAAAATCATCATTGATCCCAACCCCACTGACCACACTCTTATGGTAGTTACTCTTTAGCCTTGACAATATTTCAAAACATCTCAAAATCCTTTTGATGGCGACAACATCCTCCTAATTAGCTTCACAAACCAATATTGTGTCATCGACAAATTGCAAGTGGGTTATCTTTATACCATTGGATCCAACAATAGCCCTTTTAATCAACCCCATTTGTAAAGCTCTACCCAACAAGATGTTTAAACCCTCAACCATAATGTTAAAGAGGAATAGTGATAATAGGTCACCCTGTCTAAGCCCTTTCTGAGGTTTGAACTCAGTTGTTGGTGATCTATTAACCAAAATAGAGATATGGGCTAAAGATACACATTTTTTCATCCAACGGATCCATTTAGAGCCAAACCAAAAATTTGAAAACATAGAGAAAAGGAACCCTCAATTAATTGAGTAATAGGCTTTCTCAAAATCAAGTTTTAAGACAATACACTTTATCTTGTTCTTCTTCCACCCATCAATAATTTCATTGGCAATCAAGACTCTGTCCAATATATTTCTTCCCCCAATGAATGTTGATTGAGACTCGCTAATAATCATGGGCATCACTTGCTTGATCCTATTTGATAATACCTTTGCAAGAATTTTATACAGAGAGCCTATGAGACTAATAGGCATATATTCATTAAGGCAAGAAGGATTATCATTTTTAGGAATCAAAGTAACAAAAGAACTATTAACTCCATGAGCCAGTTTAGAATTTTGATGAAACTCCTTCATCAATTGAAACACATTACCCTTAAGTAACTGTCAACACTTTTGGAAAATCAACAGATTAAAGCCATCAAGCCCAGGAGCCTTATTCCCATCGTAGGTTTTGATTGCTGCTACGATTTCTGCTTCTGAGAACTCAGTTTCTAAAGCATCCCTAATCGCATCACCCCCAATAGACTTAAAAGAACCAGATAAGGTTGGCCTTCTGAACCATGTTTCAGTGAACTGGTTCCTAAAATGCTGAAAAACTTTAGTCCTTATTTCTTCAGGATCTTCCTTGATAACCCCATTAACATTTAATGAGCACAATGCATTTCTATTATTCTTGGAGGCAACCATAATATGGAAAAACTTTGTGTTTTTATCACCTTTTAATGCCCAATTAGCTCTAGATTTCTGTAACCAAACCCATTCCACCATTTTGGTCAACTTCCAAGCTTCCCCTTTTGCCTCCCTTCTTCTGTCAAGTTTTGTTGCAGTTAATGGTCTTTTTTCAGCTACCAAGTTAAGCAAATGCAGTTCCTACTCCAGAAGCTTGAGTTTAAAATCCACATTTCCAAAAACTTCAATATTCCATTGTTTGAGAGCTAATTTAAGTGCTTTGAGCTTCCTTAAACACTTAAAACCAGCCTAACCCTACACAATGGTTTCAGCCCAAGTACTCTCCACCAAGGATTTGAATTTAGGATGTAAGGACCAAGCATTTAGAAATCTAAATGGCTATGGACCCCAATCTCGATCATCTTTCATAAGTAAAATAGGACAGTGATCTAACAACCTCCTAGGTAAGCCCCAAAGCTTGAAATTGAAATTTTGCACCCATTCTGGACTTAACAAAAACCTATCAATCCTGCTTCACCTTTCCTCTTCTTGGCAGTTACACCAAGTGAATTTTCTCCCCATCATGTGGATGTCACACACTTTCAAATTGTCAATTAAATCATTAAAGTCACGCATGCCCCTATCTCTCCTATAGTAGCCATTCCTTTCAGAAATATGCATAATTTCATTAAAATAACCCCCAAACACCAAGGTTTATCTGTCACGCCCCACTTTTTGTTACACGGAGTCATTACCAAATTCTTTAACTTAATTCAATTTCAGAGATAACATGCGGAAATAAACTCATACATTCAATCTGTAGAAGTGATTAACAATACTCTCATTCGTATGCAAAGTAAATATTACATGAACTAACTTAATAAATTGCCCTTGGGCTTACATCATTAAAAGTACAAGAAGAAGGGTGTAACCCTTTACAACAATGGCATTCCGCCAACATAACTGAGGCCCCGTGGCCAACAAATAAGAAGATCCAAATCTTGTAGCACACCCTGCTCAACACCTGAAAAAGATTCAACAACGTGGGATGAACATATAGTCCAGTAGGGAACTCAACATGCTCCTTATCAATAACAACATTACAGATAGCTATGATCATGAACACCCATTCTCATACTAGAATAATAATAGTAACTAAAATTTGGGACTAAAAGTGAACAAGATAATAACTTGTTGTGTTCAATCGGACGTTAATTGAATACAAGAAAAATTGGGACATTTCAT